TTAATTATAATAAATATAATTATGTATGGCGTCATCTGATACGATATTTTGTTATAAAAACTTTTTATATCTTAAATTAAATATTATAAAATGGCAAAAGGTTTATGTTAGAGGGTAGTGATGAGTTTTATTTTAAAAAATGTAAATGTTAATAACAAACATCTTTATTAAATCCGACTTCTATCTAGATAGAACACTTTTTTTTTATCTCCTCACTCCCTCCATCTTTAACCACCACTAAGTTTAATAGCATCAATGTCCCTTATACATTAGCTCCCATGCCAAATTTCGTTACTTTATCATTACCTCAGCTGAGATATTAAACGAAATAGACCCCAACAAACACAACTGAATTTTTTCTGGGTTTTTCTTTGAGTTCGCGAGGCCTCAAAATGTGGATATTTGCAAAAAATCTGAGGGTCAAATTTGACACGATTTCAATTCTTTCCCTAGTTATGTATATATAACGACTGGGAAACTAAAAGTACTTTTTAAGATTTTATTTTTTATTATTAATAAAAATAACATAAGGATAGAAAGCTTTAAGGATAATGTACAAATATGCATATGCCAAAAATTTTACTTAATATATCCTTTCTAGCAATAACTTATTAGCTTAATAACTTCCCCTGCTCTGTTATATACAACAGATGGAAAGTATGGCGATCGGTCAAAACCTAATCCCCAAGGCTTTTACATTTTTTGACTCTAAACCTTGAAACGTCGAGAAATGCAAAAATAATTTTTACTGTATGTATGGATGTTATGTGGGTGTGTGTTTGTGTCCGGGAGCATAATTTTGTTCACCCTCTTTAAAGCTTAATAACTCTCGTACTTTTGTCGAAAACTTCTGAAATTTTGCACGTAGGTTTGTGTATTAGGAGCATTAATGCTATTAAATTTTGATGGTTAAAGGTCGAGGGAATGGAGAGACAGATAGAGATGTGTGTCATATCTCGAGAAGGCAAGAGCAATAAAATTCTTATGCTTTCACAACATTACAGATAAATTAATAGATATATGCCAATAATAGCTGAATAACACGACAAATTTAATAAATAAACACTAAATTTTTAATTGTTTTAAATATATATCACAATAATAACAATTTAAATTTTGTATAAGTGAAATTTCACATTTTAAATTTATTAAATACATCTTTACCGTATTTTAAAAACTTGCAAAAAATATTAAAAATAATTAATCATAATTAATAATAATCATTACAATTGAATTAAAACGTCTCATTAAAAATAAAAATAATAATTATTGCTAGATTTTCCCATAGACGCAGTTATAGGGGATATAGAAGAGTATTGTCCCCAACACCAGTCAAAAAATTTATCGAATTTTTGTTAAGTTATATCTGTATCTATACTAATATACAAAGCGAGAATGTTTGTTTGTTTGCTAGAGGTAATCCCAAAATCTACTTAACTGAATTTTAAAAATTCTTTTGCTATTGGAAAGCTTATTTCTTCCTGATGAACATAGGCTATATATTATTTACATGTTAAAAACCGAAAATGAACGAGAACGCTGGTTTATCGCACAGTGGCATAGCGTGGGTGTCAGCCACCCGGGGCAAAGGAAAATTTCGCCGTCCCCTTATTTAGGTATCTCAATTTAAAAGACTAAAATTCAGTTTCGTCACAGAATAAGTAATGAAAAATTCCGTGCTAGTGTTGCCACCTTTTTAAAATCGCTGACCCGGACGGCAGGTGAGGTTTGTTCGAACAGAAGTTCCTGACGCTTGCGTATGTCATTTTGCAATGCGAAGAATAATGTGCAGTGCATGCCGGTTCTAAATCAGTTACAGTTAGCGACTAGGGAGACTTGGGTAGGAGTAACGTAAGTAACCTAGATGACTTAGCTCTATTAGATATTGGAGGTGTATGTGAATACGATTGAATCGTGTAAGAAAAAAACAAAAAAAGGTCGACAGGTCGCGCATAGTATCGCCGTGTAAAATTAATAGCTCATCCGGACGGTGAGTCGATTCCCGGACTCTCCGGATGGTAACACTATTCCGTGCTCATTTCGATCGGTCCGAATCGTAGGTGCGACAAAAATAGGAAATAAAATGGTTCAAATTTTTACAAGATATTATTATTTATTGTGAAATTTTTACGCCCCCTAAAAGTGCCGCCCGGGGCGGGCTGCCACTCCCGCCCCTCCCGCCCCCACTACGCAACGCCACTGTTATCGCAGCATTTGTCTAGCAACAGTATTTACAGTATCTGCTTCATTCGAGATCAATCTCCTTGCCACCTGGTGGGCTTTTTAATAATTTATTATCTTATATTTTCGGTTTCGATTCGTGCAGTTTGGGTAGTTGTGTATATGCTTTGTTTATATTGTCTTTGGTCGTTCGTTTCTTATAATAATACTCTTATGTTATAAGATACAACTATATGGAGAGAATTTATTTCCCTTATATCAAACTTTTTTAAGTAGGCCTGCAGTATTTTTATGTATTAATTGTTTTAGTACAGTATTAACCCATTATACTATTATCTAAAAATATATGGACTACCATAAAACTTGGACGCGTCGCTCCTTCTCTGATTTCACCCTTAACTCCAAATATTTTGACGATCTGTACAAATTTTGCATAATTAGTCCCTACAATCCTCTAAAATATAGCTACGTTAAAACTCGGATTCTCTCGCCTTCTCCCTGATTTCATCCCCCACAAATTGCCAACCCTTTGACTGATTTGCACCAAATTTTGCATAGTTACTCTGCCAATCTGCGGGAAATATACGCTAACCTATAACGAGGACGACTCAAGTCCCTTCCTAAGTTTCCGGACAACGCTGGACATTCATTGCTAGTTTATATTACTACATATATGAATAATAAATTAGTTGTTCCATAGTTCTTAGAGTGACTTTCAACGAAAAGCTTCGGAGATCACATTCCGACCCTCAAGGAATAAGCTCTATCTTCGCTCAGATTCCACACATTTTCTTAATTCTTGATAAGCTTATTGTAAATTAGAAATTTACATTTGTAAAAGATTTGATTGATCGGTTTTATTTTAGACAATAATGAATTTATATATAAAATTTCAATCATTTGTTTCAGCTATAAATTCATTAAGATTTCACAATTTCAATAAGATTTCACAATTCTCTTAAAGACTAGTCAATGTTCGATTTCATCAAATACTTTATGTTATATTAGAACATCATAAAAATGTGATTATCTCATCTATGAAATAATATATATGTTTTTCTGCTACAAGATCTTATCTGAAAATTTATCTAAAGAAGTTAAATATAAAATAAATGAGATTGAAATTTTAGTATAAATTTCTTAGTATTTCTTATAATATCAGATATTTATATTAAGAAATTTCTATTAATTTAATATAATAATAATATAAATTATTTTGATGTTTTGATACTATAAAATTTTAAAATTTTCAGGATTTTCGACATTAGTTTAAAAAACAAATATATAAAAGTTTTATTTATCAGAGAATAAATTTGATATAGATTTTTTTAAAAATATAGTTTATTACATAAATATTTATCTTTACAGCTTACCCTGGTTGATACGCCGGGAATCATGGAAAACAGAAAGCCTCAAGACAGAGGTTATCCATTCAATGATGCATTTCAATGGTTCATCGATAGAGCCGATGCCATATACGTGGTCTTCGATCCAAGCAAATTAGAAATTGGTTCCGAATTAGAAGCTCTTTTGGACCAACTAAAAGGACGCGAAGCCCAAATTCGATTTATACTCAATAAAGCTGATACTATTAGACGTAGCGATATTATGAAGGTGATCGGTCAATTATTCTGGAATCTGTCGCCATTAATGGGCAGTACTGAGGCACCTGTTATTTATGCTGTATCGTTAATGACGAAGCCTTTTCATCCAGGATCACCGGCAAAATTTCTTCTCGATCAAGAAATGACATTTTTAAGCGACCTTCGAGAAACGATTGAAAGAGGAGTTGAAAATCGTATCCTTTATGCCAGACGTCACGCAGTTCGAGTACGTAATCATGCAAAAATGGTAGACTGTTACCTTGCAACCTACTACAAACACAAATCCATATTCAGCAACAGAAAGAAAATAGCCGATCAAATCACCGAAAATCCTGATAAATACAGTATTTATCAAGGTCTCAGCACTTTGACCAATGTCAGCCGTTACGATCTTCCAGATCCCGACATATATCGTGAATTTTTCAATCTTCATCCATTATACGATTTTAAACCTCTTCAGTCAACATGCAGTTATTTCAGAGGATGCCCTCTCGACAAACTGGATATTGCCATTTCTTACGACCTTCCGGATCTGTTGAGGAAATACAAAAAGCATTTCAACAAAGTGAATAACACAGATCAAAAGGAAGATGATAAAACTAGATGAACAGAAAGACCGAATGGAATTGGGACGGTCTAATCCGGACCAACAAATCAAGTGTCGCACGCACTTGTAGGATTTACAAATCCTACAGTCGCTGCAAAAAGTAGTGAATGGGTAAAGTGTTGTCAGTTGATGAGTTTTGCCATGAAAAATTTCGTAGAAAGCCGAATCAAAATTAATGTGGAGAAAGGAGTGTTTTTATTCACAAAATTTGTTATTCCACTTACTGCATTTTTCCAATGAAATTAGAAAATACCTTCAGCAAAAGTAGATATGTAAAATTATGGACGACATTCCTAGGATCAAAAAATGGACACATTCCCATCAACTGACAACATATCATACATTCTAACCCGGTCAATATTATCTTTAGTCGATTGTGAATCATTCTAAGCAGTCTACTCACCAAAGAATGGAACAATTGTGAGTAAAGATTATCGACTGTTTATCATCGCGTAATGCAAACTTCATTTCATTCAAAATTTGTGAACTAAAGAAGTGCCTTTAGTATATAGACTATATCACCTCTTAATTAAAAAAGCTTCAAATTCATTGTTTGTTTCAACTGTTTCCTATGTCATCTGATGTATTCATGCCATAAATTAAATTTCTTTCGAATTGATACTGTGATACGAAGATTATAAATTTAAATAAAAATGTGTTACAACTGATATTATGAATAAATATTAAAATAAAGTTAATCAAGTTATGTATACATCAGTATATTCAATGTAGCTTCATCCCTAAATAAATAGTAAAACACTCATATTTGAGAATGTTTAATGAATAATTCGTCATACTAGAAAGAAATACGATCGTATTTTTGTAAGTAAAAAATATGGATGATTGCAGGTTATAGGAACCTATATCTTGGTCATTCAAAGCCAAAAACTTTGGATTGAATGCAATGTTTTGCTATTTGGCTTATTTTCTAGTTTAATTTTCTTTCGAGAATTTTAGAAAATTCAACAAATTTTAAACATTGTTTCAGAATAACAAATCCTGATCTATAAACATGCAAAAGACTATCTTATAAATTTTGATTTGATCAAGCTGAATTTTTTTTTTTTTTTCTTATCAGTAAGAAAGTTATGGATTAGGTTCGATTTTGGCAATAGCCTTTTGAATGTTGGCCAAAATATTTTTAAAGATGATCTAAACATGATTTTTGAGATATAAACTAAAAATTCCTCGGAGATAGTTTTTAAAATACGAAGCATTTGGCTGTTTTCTCTACAGCTCAGAAATGCTACAATAAAATCCATTTCTCACTCCATTCTCTATCTCAATTTTGTAAGTGTTTTTTTAAAAACAAGGATCGAAATTACATTTTATTATTTCATAATTATCGTTAGTTAGCAGTCCTATAGAGATATAGCAACGAAATGTAACTATGAAAGTGAATAAAAACAACTAGTAATACAGGTCACGTGAAAGAAATTCAATTTAATCCGATCTATTTATCAGGTTATTTTTTGAAATTATCATGAACCTACTAACTTTAGCATAATTAAACAGTTAAATTTGATATGTCTTTCCAAAAGTTTGATCTTTGTAAAGATTCAAACTTCATCATTTAAAAAAACAGAAAATGCATAGGATTTCTTAAGATACAAAAATTGATATGAGTCTTTGGATAAATTTCAACAGTTGAATAATGCAGATAAAACTCACTAAATGAGAGCACAAGTATATTAATCTTAATTTCTTTCATTTAAAAATATAATTAGAGGCAATATAACTGAATACATTTAAACAATAAGTTATAGAAAAAATAGCAAAACAATTTATTATCATAATTACCAAATTAATTATGTAAAAACATTTTTTAAATTAGTCATTGTAAATTCGTAGATTAAAAAAGAAAAAGAAATTTTGTATACAGTCAAACCTCGGTTTTCGAACCAAATTCGTTCCTAAAAGTTGTTCGAAAATCGATTTGTTCTAAAACCGAAACAAATTTTCCTATAAGAAACAATATAGAATGAATTAATCTGTTCCCAATCATCAAACAAAGCCTTCTATCTCTTTTTTATCTATATTTCGTGCATAAAAATGCCTACAAATAAAATATAATATAATATCATCTATATCAATTCTATATATAGGCTATATATTGAAAGCAAAATGTTATGTTTCAATTGTTTTGATTTCAATTTTTTAATTACTTAATAAGTTTTGATTTTATTTTTCATTTTTGTTTCGGTTTCAGTGTAAGTTTTAATTAATAATTAAATTTTAAAATAAAATAATATTTTTAGTTTTAACTAACTTGCTAGATAGTAAGCTCACTAATAAATAAATATTAATACATGTTTGTTATTTAACTTAAGCATACACGCATTCTTGAATGTCATTTATATTACGTGAATGTCAATTAACGCGATTTTTATTAATTAATTTGACGTCATCTCTGATTCATGACCGGCTCTTGTATTTTCTAAAATATAAATACATATCGTGCGATTATTTTCATATCTTATCGGCACGACTCAAGCTCGGAATGAGGGCTTTTTCGATTCCCCCAAATTGTAGCCCGCCTTGTGAGAGCATCAAAGTCAAAGGAACCATACCTGTACGGGCGACCCTTCGCGAGATATTGCCCTGCAAATAATACCTTACGTCATTTCCGGTCACGTGACCCCCGCCCAAAAGGGATCCCAGAATATCGCGCCCGTGGCCCTCGGGCCGTGTGGAAGAGGCAGGCGGCAGCAGCGATGAGTACAGAGCGGGGAGGCTCGCGTGAGAGAAGCTAAGAAAGGGAAATGTGTGCATTTTTTTTTGTAGCTTGTTCGTAAACCGAAGGCAAATGAGTTCAAAATTTTGTTCACAAACCGAATTTTTCGAAAAGCGAGGCGTTCGAAACCCGAGGTTTGTAAGTTTATAAATAATCGAAGAAAATATAAATAAAATTTGGGTGCATTACTTAAGATGAGAATCTAATTGAAATCTAACGAAAACTTATATAGAAGGATATCAAAAAATTTTGGAAGCTTCCTGAAAACCGAATGATCGACAATCTAAAGGAGGATGCACACATGCGGTGTGGCAGAATGATGTCACTTTTTTCGCTGCAGAAGCCGATTTTCTGCCGCTTTTCTCGTGTCGCGAAAGTTGGTTGAATTCTATCTTTTGCGGCGGCCGCAACCAAGACGCGATTCTAACAGTTAATAATAGTTTGTGTGGTAGTCACGTGAGAAAATAGAATCACATGGTGTTTTAATGGCGGAAAGTTCGACGCGGTTAACTGAGATAACTGACATTAGAATAAAGAGGAAATGATAATAAATTTAACAGAAATTCTACACAAATAATCATATATAATTTAATTAAAACGGAAAAAACAACCGAATGTTACTCGAAATAGTATTTTTTATTGAGAGATCTTAATCGAAGAATAAGCGTATTTTGTACACCAGTTCTTTCTCGATCGAAGAAAATATCTCTAACCCAAAATCGGCACAATTCAAGCTCCATGAGGGAGTCGGCGACCCCCAAAATTATAGACGCAGTAAAGTTCAAATCACCACATACGCCAGTTAAAATTCAAAACTTATATATACAGGGTGTCCCAACGAAAACGAAACGACAGAGATATCGCGTTCGTCCAAGCAAATCGCTCGGACAGGTCGATTTTATTCTCAAGGGGGACATTTTCTGCAATGAAGTTTTTGCGATTCTGAATACAACAGACAACAAAATTTTTAAAAACTTATTCATTTTTTATTAACTAAACAAACATTTATTTCAAATAAAGTAACACAAACTATTAAAAAACATAAAAAAAAACCTTTTAAGCTAGACCGCATATGCAAGGAAAATTAAGTTGATCATAAAATTAAGGTTGATAATGTGTTATCTGTTTCCAAATGTTATAATACAGTATTTTGAGATTTAATAACTTACTGTAAAGTGACATAAGAACATGTAACTGTCTTGACAAGATAAGCAATCTCATCTTCTTGACATGACCTATCTCTTCAGAAGTCATACCGTGAGATGCCTCTTCGTCTACGTCAACAAGCTTATTTCACATTAAGCTTGACCACATAGTGATTCAATTCGAATTTAAGATTATTATTATTTGTTTTGTCGGGATAAAAATCGTCTAGCACACTCGTTTTAACCGCGCTTTTAGTCGTTCGACAGACGATGTTGGTCGCCATAGGAACGCTACTCGGACAACATCTGAAGACTCGACCGCTCATTGGTTAAAAGACATCACGCCATCTGCGGACGTCTTGGAGAGCTTTAGCTTAAAAGGTTTTTTTTATGTTTTTTAATAGTTTGTGTTACTTTATTTGAAATAAATGTTTGTTTAGTTAATAAAAAATGAATAAATTTTTAAAAATTTTGTTGTCTGTTGTATTCAGAATCGCAAAAACTTAATTGCAGATGTCCCCCTTGAGAATAAAATCGACCTGTCCGAGCGATTTGCTTGGACGAACGCGATATCTCTGCCGTTTCGTTTTCGTTGGGACACCCTGTATATTGAAATAAACGTATGTACAGTTACAAAGTTCACAAAACAAACATTTATAAAACGTTAATTATAACAAAGTTCAACACATTTTCTACTACAATAGGTCCGTCGAAAAGACACCTTGCAACGAACTAACTCTAGTCCTTTACAGTCCAACGAGACGAGACAAGCTTCGGGGCAGCTTCGGCGAACTAAGGTCCAACGTGAGTTCCCTTCAAGCGCCCAAGGTGAACTGAACTTCCCGCCACAACTCAATCCTTTTATAGGATTGAAGCAGAATTGGATTCCACCAATCAGAACTTAGCAGCTCTACAGGACGTCCGCCGATGGCGTGATGTCGCTCAACCAATGAGCGGTCGAGTCTTCAAAAGTGGTCTGATCGCTGTTTTTATGGTGACAACCGTCGTTAGTCGAACGATTGGAAAAGCGCGGGAAAACCGTGTGCCAGACGATTTTTATCCCGACAGACGCCTTTGTGCAAACAAAAAAGTCAAAGGAACCATATCCCTACGAGCGACCCTTCACGAGATATAACCCTGTAAAGAATCGCCTACGTTATTTTACGTTCACCGCGCCCAAAGGGAGCCCCGGAGTTTCGCGGGCGCGGTCTCGAGGTGTCAGGGAACGCCTACCGTTCAAAAAAATGTGCACGTTCCCCTTTCTTAGCTTTTCTCACGCGAGCCTCCCCGCTCTGTCCTCGTCACCGCCGCCGCCTGCCCCTTCCACACGGCCCGCGGGTCACACGCGCGATATTCTGGGGTCCCTTTTGGGCGCGGAGTCACGTGACTGAAAATGACGTAAGGTATTATTTTCAGGCAATATCTCGCAAAGGTTCGCCCGTACAGGTATGGTTCCTTTGACTTTGATGCTCGCACAAGGGCGGACTATAATTTGGGGGAATCGAAAAAGCCCTGATTCGGAGCTTGAATCGTGCCGATAGAATATGAAAATAATCACACAATATATATTTATATTTTAGAAAATACAAGGGAAGTGGTGCTTCCACAGTTTCCATGGACAGCACGCCACTGATTTGCACCACCATTATGTTTGTACCAATTTCTTAATATCTTTAATCGTTGTAAATTTTACAACGATTAAAGTACGAATGTTTCACAGTAATCCAAGTACGATTATTGATCGGTATGATTATGCGCATTATGTTTGTACCAGTTTTTAATATAAAGATATTAAATTATTTTGGAAAATATTTGGAATATATCGTGGAATACAAATAATTGGAATATATTGTGGAATACAAATATTCCACGATATAATGCAGAATAATAGGTATTCTGCATGCGGACATGGTAATTTGTAGGTCCGCACCTATCTACCATTAGAGTCGCATTCAGAGCCGGTGCGACAAGTATATAAAGCCTTTGCTACCGTGCTGGAGTAATGCGTTCGCAATGCCGAAAGCAATTAGTCCTGACATCAGATCGCTTGTGCTTCGACACAAGGAGGAAAAGAAAACCGTTGCCGAAATTAGCAATATTCTAAAAATATCGCCGAGAAGTGTCTCTCGCATAATTAAACTGCATCGGGAGACTAATTCCCTGTCTCCAAAGAAGTCGACGGGTCGACCCAGGAGTACGACTGCAGAAGATGCTCTGCTGGCGTCGACCAGTCGGGCAAATCCGTTTGCCACGTCAAAAGTGTTACAAGAAGAGCTGCACCTGAATGTCTCAAGGGACACGGTGAAGAGACGGTATGTAACATTTGTAGGATAGTAGTCACACGTCCTTCGAATACATTAGTAACATGTTCTTGCATATACAGAAATGTAGAAAGCAGGATATTACATATATATTTATTTCATTAATAGGTTGAGAGAAAACAAATTATACGGCAGAAGAGCTGCTAAAAAGGAAAATTTAAATTAGAAAATGGATTATTTTCTAATTCACCATGTAAGATTCCAGTTTCTAGGAAAAAAAAACAAATAGCAATTTCTTCGTCATTTGACAATTGTCATATTATAAAATTTAATTTAAATCGAATAATAACAAACTGACCAAAAGGAACAATTACGGCCAACTTCGAAAAAACATTACAGTAACTTTGAGGTAATGTATTGTACTGTACATCACTCCTACCAAGAAACGTAATTTACATAACCACATGATGTTGAATGACGCAACTGTACTATGTAAAGTAGATTGAAAAATAAACAAAAAAAATTATTTTAACTTTTAATACGACTTTGTTAAAGTTGAAATTTAACTTTTTAAATTTCTACCAACACGAAAATTTGCTAATCGTTTTCGATATCATATGTATATTAACAATCCTTGTTTAAATTCATAATCGACTTTTATAACTTTTATACAAACTTAAATAAAAGGGTAGGTTTGCATTTTAATTAACTTTATATACTATTTAATCTAAATTAAAGCAAATACTGTATTAAGATGTAAACGCGAATCGGATTTCGTTAATTGACTGGTGTCCCCGTTAACCAAAGAGTACATCATAATTATAAACGATATTTTGAGAAAATAAATACTTATAATGAAATTTAAGGATAATATTAATTATAAGTTTTATATTTTGCCATACAAAATGAGAGTAAAAGGTATGAGATCTATTATAGATTGACACAATTAATTGAATTCAATAAACACTCAGAAAATTGTAATCATCACAGTAACACCTTAAATCACTGAGAAACAATTTATTACATCAGCTAAAGTCTTCAACCTGCTCAACAGGCCATCATCACGTTTAAAATTCTGGAACACATTAGGCGTTTTGGTAACGCGCGTTTTAAAGAACCAAGAGTTCTGCATAGGCGTACATACTCAAACGCGCGCTTTTGGCCAAACGCGCGTTGATAGATTTTTGTTAAAACACGCGTTTTACGGGCGTCAGCCGCGCGTTTTGAGCTATATGTGCTGAGATGATGTTGTACATTCGATCGCGCGCTTTCGGGTAGAGTGGACGTACGTTGGCCGAATTGGAGAACGATCATTTTGATACTGATCTATTTATTGATGAAATCTAAAAGAGACCAGCCATCGTCAAATAATTTTATAGATATTCTAAAATAATTAAAAACTTTGGGTTCATATTATCTTAGTTTTGGATACAATGTCAGAAACATTCCATGCGTCAGTCTATCTCGTAATATTGGGTGCATCCAAAATTCTCTTTGCCTCTGCCATCGTCTTTTATAACGACGATGGAGGAGGCACACACAAGCAATTACTTTCACGTCCATTTCCAAACTGAGCCAGTGCTAACGCGCGTTTAACGCAACGCAAAACGCCTAATGTGTACAAGCCCTAACAACCGATCCTTATCACACAGAATATGTGAGAACATATTTAAAATTACAAAGACGTTCNTTGGATTATTACGAATAGGATTAAATTCGAAATTTATAATTCGATTCTAGCTTTTCAGCATGAAAAATAAATATTTAAAAACCGATTTCTATGACAAATTATTAATTGGATTTTGTTAAGAATTAAAAACACTGTAATAATAATTATGACGAGGAATATGTGAGAACATATTTAAAATTACAAAGACGTTCGAATATATCGTCATTCGATTTCAAAATAAATATATAAATAATACAATATTGGTATATGGATTACAGTAATAAAACAATAAAAAAGGAAACGATAAAAATAAATAAAAGATAAATGAAACAAAAAGGAAAAAGTACAGTACATCCATAATATCAATTTCACACTGAATGGACGTTATGAATTAGATTCATAACATCTTTCTTTGATTCTAGTTACAAATGTTGACGTCCCCTGTAAATGGGCTTTTGCTGCATGTGACAGGAGTTTGTATAAAAGCCCCATTCGTACTTTAAGTTATCGTAACTTTATAATTTAGATTGGATAAAAATTAAACATTTAATGCTTTTTAGAATATTATTACTCTAAGAAATTTTTTCTGTTTTAGTGATATATTTTTATATTTATATAATACTTATCATTACTTCACGTTTAATTGTTTGGTTTTAGAAACAGAATACTGTATTTGATGAATTAAAATAACAAAATAAAATTATTTAAATCCAACATCTGTTTTTCCATAAAATTTTCCTCATGCACTTTTTTTTTTATCTCGATAGAAATGTGTTAAAAATTAATATTGGATTTCATTATCATTCCTTTTGATCGCTTATCACTGAGATCGACTTAAAACGGGAAGATTTCGAATTGAGTTGACTCAAATTTATTAATTAATTATATTTATTCAGTGTGAAAGTAAATATAAAAATTCAGGAATTGATTTTGAAAACTTTGTCATTAGAAAATTATTTGAATTTTATAAGAATAAAAAATCATCTAAGAATCATCTAAGAATCGTACACAAAAATATTGAAAGTTGTTCTTTTTTAGCAGATTATTATTTGTTTAATTATCAAAATTAACCGAATTGTACTATAGACATTTAANGCGCACTTTTAAATTATTTTAAACTGCGTTATTTATTTATTCATTCATTCATTTTAATATAAATAAATAAATAATGGAAAGTTGAAAATATAATAATAAGCGATTTATTTTTTTGTTTCATTTAATAAAGAATTTTTACACAGACGAAATAAAATTTTCATTTACACTGTAAAAAAATTAATAATATTAATTAAAATTCTATGCAAATACCACTATAGGAAAATATTTATAATATAATTTAAGATTAAAACACGCACATTTTTCAGATTTATTGAAATCAATCAAGATTACTTATCATCTGGCTCAAGAATAATTTTAAAACCCATTTAATTAAAGCATTATATATGACATTTACATAAAATCTCATTTTCTGAAATGTGATGATAAGAAAATAAAATAGCAGTAAACTAAAATTTTATTTATTTCAGTACTCATAAGTAGGACCTTTATCATAATGCTATAGAGTTTAAACAGCAGTCATTTTAGAAATTATGAGAAATAATGAAGAAACTATATTAGTTTCTTCCTGCAGTGTACTTTGGAGTGATGTGGGTATTCAATCCCCAATAGCTTTAAGAATAAAATTTAAACAAAAAACAGTTTTAAACAACAAATCCAAAATTACATTTTATTAATGAATAATTCAATATCAGTCAGTTATTTTATTTCTTATGATGATAAAAAAATGAATGCTCAGTTATCAATTGCTTATTCGTACTATATGATTATGGATTGTTGTAGAAGAAAGATCATAGTTCAGATATTGAGCTTGTTTTTGAAGTTTCCTTCCAGATGTATTTGCAACATTGTAGGACATTTGTCTGGCAGGTATATATGGAATACTCATTTGCCAGCAGTGAGGGTAAGGGACACTAAATTTTTCTTCATTCTGACTATACTTTTTAGATCATCCTCCCAGATCACTCCCAGAGCAAAATCTTAGTTATGCTACTGGTTTCTTCACTATTACATATATAATGTAATAAATACAGCCTATGTTTCCATTATATTATCCATTATATTTCTTTTATCAAAAAAAAAAAAAAAAGTAAATGTTTATGTACATACACTTTGTTTTCATGGAGGTAAAAAAGGAAATGTCCCTCTTTACCCGAAATATTTTTGAATATCTCAGCCTATCATCAGAAATACAAAACAATCATTGTATCCCTAATACTGGACTAAGAGACCCAAAAATATTCAGGGTTAAGAGATTTAATTTTTGGGTTCAAGAAAATAGGAAAATGTACATATTAAGGTCATTAGAGAAATAAACTTGTTAATATACATAATGAAATATAAAATTTTAAAATGTTTAAAATTTGATATTATAATATAACTAAAATTGAGGGCATTTATAAAAAAACATCTAGTACATTTTTTTGAATTTTGTTATTAAATACTAAGTTGAATTTTTGATATTTCAAGAGATGATGAATCATTAGCAGAACAGAAACAAGAAGCGTTGTATAAATACTGTTAAATGATAATTCATTTAAGATGAATTTGATTTAAGCTTTTGAAATTGTATTTTAAAAATAATTAAAACAAATAGCTTCAAAATTAAATTATTAATAACACAGAATAAGATATTGGATATTTTTAAAATGTTTGATATTAGTGTATGTGTGTGTTAAAAGATTGAAATTATGAGTGAAGTTATTAATATCATCATAATTCTGAAACAATTTTAGTTATTTTAAAAAATTATTTCAAAAGTTTAAATTGAGTTTATTATATCCAGATTATTATCTAACAGTTTTTTATATAATACTCATGTTTCTGTTATACTAATGAATCATCATCTCTTCAACCAATAAAAGTTCAATTTTGTATTTAATAACAAAATTTTAAAAATTTGTGATTTTTTTTTCTTTTTATATAAATGCTCTGTTTTAGTTCTAACATCAATTTCTTTGGTGATTTGCTTTTTGTCCTTATATTACAATATGAATCTATGAGTAACAATTATAATCTCTGGTTGCTATTTGTATGGAAAACATAACATTTGTAAAAAATCCTGAAAATGAAGTCATCCATGCTTTAGTGACAAAATAGAATTTACCTTTTAAGTCTGTATGAAAAAAACAAAATTTTGAACCATTTTAATCATAAATCTAAATATTAGTAACAAAAAACCATTTGTAATTTTGTAGACTCCTGTAACCCACTAAATTGTAACATATAAGGCTGAAGAGGAATAGACAACCTGTCCAAAATGAATACTGTTGTAATAATAAACCTGTCTACCTACTTCTGTTTGATTACTCTGACAATGTCAATAGTGAGTGATAAGTTTTCCATAGAACCAGAAACTTATTGCTCATAGATTCATATCAATTTCTTTCTTTAATGTTTTTGTTCTCTAATGAGTACTACACTTTTAGAATAAAACATTACTTTTATAACAGTTAACAGAATAAATTTAATTTTTTCATTTCAGTGATTTTCTAATATTATCAGACCTTTATATGTATATATATATGGTTTAATTGCATCGTTGTTTAAAATGATTTTATATGTATAAATCCATTTTCAAAAAAATTAAACATTGATAAATAAAACATTGATATGTAATAAATTTATTTTAATGAATTAATATAGATTATTTCCTAATATTTTCCTTGCAAGTCAAATTTATATAAGTTTATTTACTTTGAAAGTATAGTTTGTAACTAACAAACAACTAGATTTTAATTACATAAATACTAGATATAAGTAAATTGATTTAGAATTTTATTTAAAAATGTTAGAAACATTCACATTAAAAACTTTCTTAATCATTTTTAAGATAGATAAATAATATGATTATATTAATAGTTAAAATACTGTTCCTTGGAATAAAATTTTTTAATATAACAAACATTTTAGAATTTAAACTTTATTTTTGAGACTTTAAGATAAAATGTTGGACTTAATTCCATAAGTACAATATACAACTAAGTACTACATTATTTTTAATATACCATAAAATAATAGCTGATTTTTCAACGTAATTTTATTTATTAATAACAATTATCTATGTCTTGAACACACTTCTTTTGTTTTATTTTTAATTATAGTTTTGTTTAAAATAATAATTAGATTTGATAATGTTACCAAATATTTTCTGTTTAGTTTATTGCTATTTGAAATTTATCAAAAATAAACTTTTAGTATATACACTAGTTTCTGCTTTATTGAGCATGTAAAAACCGTTTTGAGTAATCCCTAATATTTTATTTTATATCAAGTAATATTATCTATTAAATTGTAATTTATTTATTGTAAAACTTAGCTGGAATTATAGGAACAAAACAAACATCTTTCGATCTTTGAATGTGCACCTAACTTTCTAAATACAGTAGAATCTCATTTTAACAAATCATGGAATAATGGATTATTTTTCCCCAGGTGCCACCAAATTAATGTAATTTTACCTCCTTTTAGTGGATCCATAACTCAGAATAATGGATTTTTTTTTTCTAGCTCCATCTATTATAAACTTTACATTTTTTCAATGTTTAGTTAATATTTGGATTTCTGGAAATTTATACACTTCAATTATGCACTTGTTACATCTGAGATATGTGTAACTGAAGAATTGTAGGAAGACCCTAGTGAACACTCTGACACTGATCCAAGTGCAAGGCCATTGAGTCTTTCCAAGTCATGAAGTTCTTCCTGACGAATTTTAGCATAAACGAACAGGGTGTACACGACATTACTAATATCAAGCAATTGTTGTACTTACTCAATGGGTAGAAAAACAGCATCAAAACAAACCAAGATAACTTTTTTAACAAATTGTGAAGTCAAGTGAAATGCTAATGACATACATAATTTGTTTCTTGTGCTTACATTATATACAGTTTCCATTAGGTTTGTTGTAGACACATATAACATAATATATGATCTTATAACATGTGTTTCTATAGAATAAAGAATAGATTTCAAGAAACTGAATAATTTCAGGTACAGTTATTTCTTATATGTAGAAGGTTATAAACAGATATGTGTTTCAAATAATGAATATTTTCCTGGGTGCACAGCAAATCTGTTGTTTGTGTTGTAATGAAGTCTTGGAATAACAAATGATTCTCAGAGCCTGAGCAATCTGTTAAATGAGATTCTACTATATAGTTTACAAATATAGTTTGAATTGTTTGTATAACAAGAAAATAGAATAGTAAAATGATGAAATTCCAAATTTGTATATAATGAAAAGTTTTACAATGTTAAATCAAATGTCAAATATGTTGATAAGCTATATTGATACAATAGGTTTTATGAATCAGAATGTCATAGAATGTTACATCATAAATTCATAGGTGATTTAAAAATAAAAAAAATAATTGTAAAATTTAGTTCAGAATGTTATTAAATTGATATCAAATACATTATTGATATTAAATAGATATAAAGTGAATAATGATTAGCTTCATTTACATACAAGAGAATAGAAATAAATAATAAAGTTAATATTAATTACATTACTAATCATGAATAATAATATAGTAAATTATTTTAATAAATTATAGAGGAACATATAGTTAATGATAAAACCTATGCTGAAGAAATAGAAGATAATGGACAGAATTTATTTGAAAATCATGTACGGTTATTTGGAGAGAAAAATTGTGATCATATCGATAAAACATTATTTCTTAGTGATGATGAAGCAAATGATGAAGCTGTTACTCAGAATATTTTAATGAAACTTTCAGCAATTTATAAATATGCTGTGAAGCCATTAGAATTTGCTTATAAATTTGTTGATTTAAACAAACATGTTGTGAGTGGTAAGTTTTTAAAAATATTTTTTATTATCTTTTCTTTCCTAAGATTTATTTATAATTTTGGAGCAGATGGTGAAATATTTGCATTGCCAAGAGTTGTATTTGTTGGACCATGGAGTACAGGAAAATCATCAATCATTAATTACATTCTTGGTGTTGAGAATACTACAAGTTCATTGCCAAGTGGTAATTTATATAATTTTTGTATGAAAGAATTTATGATACACTGTAATAATAATTTTTCATATTTTTCTATTCTAAGCATATTAAATATTAATAGTATAAGTTTCTTATTGATATTATAGATTTAAATGTTTACATCAAATTACATTTAAGACATATACAAATATATATTTATAATATAAATTAAATATGGAGAGAGTCAAAAACTAAGTTGCAATATACAAGAACTTTTCATTGATAAATGATATTTAGATGAAATCTGGTAGTAACATTGGTAATACTTGCAGCTATAAGGCATAGCAGATTTGTTGACATGGCTGCAGAAGCTAATCTGTTTTCAGTCACGAAAGAGGTTGTTTCCTTTAGATGTAGCATCCAAATTGGAGTTCATGCAGAAACTCATTTCTTATAGGAAAAAAATGTAACCTTACTGAAATTCAATACCATTTGAGGAAAGTGTACAGCAAGAAAGCTTTTGCATGACAATGCCACATCTCATTCAGTGAGCATCACAAAGGCTCTACTAGAAAAATTCAAATAGCCTGTATGTGAACATCCTCCCTATAGTCCAGACTTTGTGCCTTGTGATTTCCATGTGTTCAGCCCTATGAAAAAGGACTTTCAAATTGCCAATACAAGTCCAATGAAGATGTTACAAATTCAACACAAAAATGGTTATCATATATTGGACAGAAATAAGGAATTATTGATATTAAATAGATATAAAGTGAATAATGATTAGCTTCATTTACATATAAGAGAATAGAAATAAATAATAAAGTTAATATTAATTACATTACTAATCATGAATAATAATTCCTTCCAAGAAGGAATAGAAAAACTTATGTCATGCTACAGTAATTGTTTAAATAAACTTGATAATTATCAAAAAGTAGCACTTGGATTGTATGTTCATACAAATAAAAATTTTTGTCCTGTATGTTTCATACTTGTATTTTTGGCATGAGTGCAACTTACTTTTTGACTCATCCTCATAGAAATCAAACATCTCAAAATCTGACATTACAATATTCTATAAATTGTTTACTGTAAGAGAAAAATGAAGTGTGAAAGATTTATATCTAGACTTTTGCTTTTTATACAGTCTAAATAAATGGAAAATATATTGATGGACAAACACTCATTCTTTTTATTTTAGATCTGCCTTTCCCATTTGACATCCACAGACCATTGTGAAGGTCCAGGGGTCCAATTTAGGAGTTTGTGGTATTACTTACGTAAAATCTCTACTTTTTAAAATGCACTCATTTTTGCTGTATCAATACAGTAGAGTACTGCAAACTTGAGTTAATGTGAACTGAGAAGGTGATGAGTTACTGAGAATTACAAGTTTTATGGACTCCTGTGCTAACAGTAAAGTGAGAGAAATGAGATTGTGTTAAAATGCAGGTTCAATTTGACCATCTTTTCATTGGCGGGAGCATGTTGCCAACCTTAGCAGAATTTTGCTAAATTAACAAATTTGTTTAATGAATAGCAGCATAATAATGATGCTAGTCTAAATAGCAGAATGTGTTATGATGTTCCTTATTTTGACAAAAAATTTTGTTTGTCAAAATGTTTGTGTCTACTTCCTAAATTTTTTGCATTTGGCCAGAATTACTCAAATATGAAGTTTCATCTTGATAGGATGATTGAGAATTACTATATCTGTCAGAAATATGTTAAAAAGAGTATGGAATAAGCTTTATTATACACTGGGCATTTTTCATATAATGAATGACCATCTTTACAATATGTAAAACTTTCAGAATTTGTCATTTAAATGGCACTAAGTATAATTGTGCAGCTGTAATACTTGCCTTGGTATAACAAATTAAAAATGTATCATCATTTACAGATACTTTGTAATAAAGTAAGTTTTCAGGGACTGTGGAATATATCTGAAAACATATTTCTACCAATTAATAATCTTACATTTTAAAATTAAATTAAACTATATTAATAAAATTCTTTTTTTAGGTGCACAGCCTACTACTTCAGATTTCACAGTTTTGACTTATGGATCAGAATACAAAACAACAGAAGGAATGGTTTTATCAATGGACAATAGTTATTCATTTTTAGAAAAGTTTGGACATAATTTTTTAGAAAGATTACTGGGAATTCAGATACCAAGTGTATTATTGAAAAAGGTAAATAATATTGTTAATCATTAATAATTGAGTTTTCACTAAGTTTATACAACTAATTTTTTTAATGAAAACAATATTTAATGCATAATTATATACTGTGGATTAAAATATTCAATACTAGGTAAATTAATTCAATAGTATATAATGTGTTTAAAAAATTTTCTTATATAAATTTATATATCATTTTCAAATAATTTCTTTTGTAGTTTTCTATCAAAGCTTCAAAAGGAATTATCTGACAAAGATAAAAATTAATAAATAGAAAAAATAATTATATATTATTTGATTGTTAATATGAATATCTTTAAAATAGAAGGAAAAACTATTCAAATATGAATTTTTTCATTATGATTAAAGTATGTTATTCTAATTAATACTTGAGATGAATTCAATTGTTATATTTTTAATATAACTAATCATATTACTTGAAAATGAATAAACAAGTATAAAAATTTAATACCATAGGTTACTATTTTTTATCAATTGTCTATATATAGTATGTGGATTAGTGCAAAAAAAATGCTAGTGCAATACACCTTGATAATCATGCAAGATCTGACATTGCATAATGAACTAAGGTGACTCATCTACTCATCAAGTAATATTCTTACACATTCTCAAACATCACATTCATTGCTGGTGAATAACAGAACCCAAATATCAATGTATGTAATAATAACATTTCCATCAAAGTTTAGCAATAGATTCAACAAAGGAAAAACAGAGCTGATGTGCATTTTTTGACTGCAGAAGGAGCAGGATCATCCAAAATTCATCAACTGGAGTAGGAATTTTTGAAAAGTACACACTTTGTTGGTGGATGATGCCCAGATAGGTTACCTGCAATAATACCATCCAAAGGATAGGCAAACTCAATTCAATAACAGACATGTCACAGAAGACAAGCTCATTCATTTATGGTTGTATTCACCAACAATGAGTTTAGGGTTGAAGTCAAAGTCAACCAATCAACATTTTTTTTTTGCGTTAAGTATGTGAGTTTTGATTGGTTGATTTTAACTTTGAATCTCAACTCTTTGTTGGTGAAAACAGCCATTAGTGAACATTAGTCATGGTTATGTGCACAATGGGTTCCTCTCATTTGAATAGTAATCAGATGGACTGGATGGCCACACTATTGGGTCATCTCTCACAATACAAGTTGGAAGGAGATAAATGTCTGTCACAAACTGTGGTTAGTGATGAAACTTTGTGCCATCATTTTGAGCCTGAATGCAAGTACCAGCATCATCAATGGAAATACCCTGGATCCCACCTACAAAGAAATCCAAGACCATTCAGAACAGTATAAAAAGATAATGTTGATTGAAACAGGTCATTCATTATTGAATTCTTGGATAAAAGAAAGACCTTTTATGTTATGAGGAAACTCTATGCTCTCTTTGACAAGCAAATAAGCTCAAACATCCTGGGATGTTCTTCAAAGACATTATCCTTCTTCACAAAAATATTTGCCCTCTTACCATCAACCTGATTAAAGATACACTATCTCAATTCTACTGAGAAACAACCAGCCTACTCCGCTTACAGTCCAGATCTCTCATCTTGCAATTTTGACATTTTTACAGATTCACATCAGACAATGAACTGATCAAAAATGGTTCCAGGAGCAGCCAAAAGTAATTTTCTGCCTCATGGAATTAATGCCTATGTGAGGTTTGCCGATTGGGGAGAAAGTGTCACGACAATTGAGCATGAGGGTGAAGACAAGTTCCGCAAATATCTAACAAACTCTCGTGGGAGATTGTCCGGATGACAAGAATCTTGAAGAGGAGCACTGCAAACCAAGGACCAAGAACATCACATCACAACCTTTATTCGCATGGTTTTCATAAGTTTCGTTTGGGTCCCAGACCGAACATTCCTATAGGTCGATATCGATTTGCCCCTGCTCTTCAATTGGTCCCCCTCCTCGTTACGAATTGCAACAAGATCGGAATCCAGATCGTGGGATGAGTTAACACCGACTGACAATTCGATTCCTATCGAAGATGTTCGATCTAAGCACTCAAATTCATCTATTGTTTTAATCTGAGTAGTTCGATTTTCTTAGAAATTTCTACGGATATGTCTTTATATGGACATAAAATAGTCATTTTTTGTTTGATGGTTTCTTTTTGCAACATTATAATAATTATTATTATTATTAATTTTTTTTAATACAAAATTAAAAACGTTTTCTGTGCATGAATTTCGACCCACTTCCAGAGCTTCACACCTAAATGGGCCCTTTCTTTTTAGATAATTAAAATTCTCCTTATTTTATAATGCATTAGGGTGCAACTATGAAGACACAAATTTAGAGCGAGCGAGAGGTTGCGAGCGATTTAGTTTTCGCAAAGAAAAACCATGCACAAACGAGAAGCGGGAAGTAACGCTGGCGAGAGCGAATTTCTGGTTCTCACACATATCTGACAGGTTTTGATATTTATCGTGTATCGCCTCTTCTCACCACATATTCTCACTTGCTAGGAAAATTTACTCGCTCGCATCTGCATAATTGCACCCTTAAAGAGGTTTATTGACTAATCCTCACAGAAGGGTTTGAGTTTAAATCTTCTCTACTAAAAATTATATATATATTTTCTTAAAAAAGATAAATTTTGAAGAATTTTTCCAATTTAAGTAGGAAAATAAAGTTCTTCAAATTTTAAAAGATTAATTTTTTCACCTTCGTATGTTAATCAAATTTTGCTGTCTAATATACTAGAACATCCTGTAATAGACATTTGTTTCAGAATTTATCTAGTTTTTTTGGTCACTTCTTGAAATGCTTTACATAAGTTAGTGAATTCAGAGATATTATAATGGATTTCAATTCCATGCTAAATTCAGTTTATAATAAAGTAATAGTCTACATGTGTCTACACATGAGACAATCACCAAAATGCTAAATATACAAATTATTATGCAATGGCAAAGACTGCAACAATATTGAAGAAACTCCAGGGATATATTCCATCCCTGTCACAGAGGTGGGATTTGATCATAAATTAATGTATATAGGACCATCACAGATCATTACCCAGTAGAATCAGAGAACACAAATATGACATTGGATTATAACAAACCAAGCACCACACTGGCCACCTATTACCACAGAGTCCAGGATAGTTGTAAATAAGGATGAAGCAAAGTTAATAAAACAAGTAGCATTGAGAAACACCAAAGAAGTTTAGAATTGCTGGAGATTGATAAAGCCTCTTTAAGAAGAACTTGCATAAATCACAAAGATTCTGAATCATTTGGGTGGCATGGAAATCATTTTATGAGAAACCAAAAAAGAAAATTTATCAAGAAGCCAATAACCCATAAGTTAGTAGAACATAGTAATATATATTTTTTATCACAATTGGAGCCATCTCATAAACCCAGGCATTTGAAAATTACATGGCCCCAAGAAACCTGTTCATTCCATTTAAAAAATTTTTGAATATATTGGACATATATTATTGCATCTGCTAGCATTCTGATTTAAAATAGTAAAATTTTAAATTCTCAACAGACCTGAAGAAGGCTAATAAAAGGAAGCCTAAAACATTTGTCAGATGGAAAAAACAATTCCAAAAAAGTGCTTAAAGATGTAGTTATTTGTTTTTTCAACTCAGTTTTCAGTTTTATTAAGTTCAAAGTTATGATTTACAGAAGTGCAGAAACATTTTATCTATTTTGTTTTACACCATGGTCTAATAAATCATTAATGTTACATGAAATGCCTAATTTTGTTAGATGCAGAAATGTGAACTTGTTTCAACATATGCAGAAACCTTGTTAACATTTCAAGAAGTGACCAGAAAAACTAAATAAATTCTGAAACATATGTCTATTACAAGATGTGCTAGTGCTTCAAGAAATGGCTAGGCACTTCTTATAATGGCAAATTTCAGCATGTTTTTATGACATATACATATGTTTTCTTTAAGTCATTGGAAATATGATAATTACATATAAAAAAATGCAATCATATTTCATTTACTAACCAAATATTAATTTTGAAATTTATAATCATTTAATACATTATAATTGCTTGAATCATTGAGTTTATTATGCAATAAAATACTGCTTTTTAGTTTGAAAGCTAAATATAGTTTTTTTAAAACATTAGGCAGATAATTTTTAACTTTTCAAATTAACTTATAAATTTTGGAAACAAACATTAAAAATGAAAATATTTTAATTACTTAAACAAGTTAGTTTTATAAAGCTGATAAACAAATGTGTTTCATTAGTTTATTTTTATCCTACTATTTTAATTGAAGTTTTTTGCTCTTAGATATCTGTTTAATATTATGTTAAGAATTTTAATATTATATTCTGCTTATTATAATGTTGAAATTATTTTTATTTTAAGGTAAATTTTATTGATACACCAGGTGTTATTGAAAATCGAAAGCAGAGAGAAAGAGGTTATCCATTTGTGGATGTTTGTAAATGGTTTATTGAACATTCTGACTTAATTGTATTTGTCTTTGACCCAACAAAATTAGATGTTGGAGTTGAATTAGAAGCACTCTTTGGTCTTTTAAAGGGTCATGAAACAAAGGTATTGTATAAAAATGAAAAATGTTGTAATTTAATATTGTGTTACTATAAAACTGAAATTTAATTTTAATAAGTAAGTTATATTGGTTTTACAGGTAAGAATAATTTTGAATAAAGCTGATACAATTACTCCTCAAGAACTTCTTAGAGTATATGGAGCATTGTTTTGGAGTCTTGCCCCATTAATTAATGTTACTGAACCACCACAGGTTTATGTTGGATCATTTTGGTCTAAAGTTTTCAATTTGTTATCACAAGTAAATGTACCATTATTTTTACATGAAGAAATATTGTTTTTAAAAGATTTACATGAAGTTATTGCAAATAGATTAGAAAACAAAATAGCATTTGTGAGACAACATGCTATTAGAGTAAGGAATCATGCACTACTTGTGGATCAGTACTTAAAAACATTACAAAAACACAAGTCAATTTTCCAAGACACAGCAGAGATTGCTATAGATATTGCAAATAATTCTGACCAGTATAAAGTATTTCAAAGTTTATTGATAAATTCAGATATTAATAGAGAAGATTTACATTCACCTAAAGATTATGCAGAATTTTTTGAACTTCATGCAATGAATTCATTTCTTCCTCTCTCAAAACATTGTGGATTTATAAGTTCCTGTCTTCTAGATACAATCAATTATGCAATTCAGTATGAATTACCAGCTCTGTTGGATGAAGTTCAGACATTACAAGGAAAAACTTGTCAAAAAGATTTGTGTAATTCACAAATGAATAGAGTACCTCATCAAAACAGAAATAATTAGTACAAGTATAAATTTTTAAAATTTCTTCCGAAAGAATTTGATTACTTGCAAAATTTTATTTTATTATAAAAGAGATGATATTGAAAAAATTTATTATAATTTATTGAATTTTTTCATGTAAATGTTGAGTCAAAATAATGATTAAATGAAAGTTCATTACCTATATAATGCAAATTTGAAATCTTTTCTAAATATGTGATTATTTATAATCAGTATTACTGTAATATTTCTAAACTGTGTAAATATTATTTATATTACTTAATTTTTATTTTAATATATATTTTTAGAAATATTATATAAAACTTAATATCTATGAAAAACAAAATGTCTGTGATCATTGCTTTCAATAGTTTTATTTAAAATTGTATAATGAATTTATCGTTTCTAATTTATAAAATGTTTTAAAGAGCATTCTATATTTTTCCATTCCAATGTTCAAAATAATTTCAAGATAATGCAATATATGATAGGAAATACAGTATATTTATATTAAAATAATTTTGTAAAATTTTCCATGTAATATTTATCTGATATTAATATTTAATTTAGATCAGAAAAATTAAACTTGTCTTGAGTCATATAATAAAATTTAAACACAAACCTCTTAAAAATTTTTGTATGTTAAATTATGTTATTCTAAATATAGCAAAACATGAATTATCAAAATTCAGTAAGTAATTGAAAGTTGTACCAGTAAAAGATTTTGTAACAGGCAAAAAGTTTATAATTTTTTGACATTATCTTCCAAAATTTTTATTTTTGTTAAAAGAAACAAAAATAATGAGTAAGTTTTGTAAACAGTTAAGATTTATTTTCTAATATATTTAGAAATATTCAATTAAAGTTCAAAATTATTATGATTACAGTTGTCCCTTGATAATCCGACAGGTATGGGACCAAAGGTGTGTCAGATTACCAAAAGTGACCGGATTACCGAAAATAATTACATATTTCGCATTGTTTTGCTAGCAGTAACTTACAATATTCTCTACTCCAACTGTTCGAACAGAACTGCTCACATAAAACACACGAAATGTGTGTCATCGAGTAAGAATTGGATGGGGAGATTCACATCGCGACATGCTTCTGTGCAAGCAGACACGTAACGGGGACGGGTACGTTGACGGGAGGTGCGTCGGACTACTGAGCATGTCGGATTAAAAAACGTCGGACTATAGAGGGACAACTGTATTTGTATAATGTTTAATGTTTTTTAGATAATTTTTCTGTTATAAGAAAGATTCCTACTGATTGCATTTTTTAGTTATGTATAATTTTACTTTTTGTATTTATTTACATAACTGTATATGAAATTATAAGTTTAGACATATTTTACAAATTTTTGGAACAGGTAAAAATTCGAGATAATTCAAAATATTTGAGATTATTAAAGAACCTGGCATCATATTTTCTAGTCACTTGAATAGAATTTAATATTTACAAGAAAACAATATTGTTATTTCAATAATTGGATGTATAGACCTTATTTTGTATAAAATAAAAATATCACACATAAATACTTAAAATGGAATTAATGTATAGCAATTCATTTTATTTTCAAATCTTTATTTTGCATATATATTATTTTTTTATTATTATATTTCTATTAAAAATTTTTCTACAACCCTTGTATTAGAATGTGCTTAGAAGATGGGGAAAAATTTATTAAACTATAAATTGTACTTTTTTTTTTATTAAACTTGTAGAGAAAGCCCAGTACTGGACTTTTGACTAAAAAAATTAATTTCAACAACTAATAATAATTAGTATAAACTAATTATTGTTGAAATTACTCAAGTATTATAAATTTTTGTATTTACAATAAAATTGATTATTAGCAGTGGCGTGCCGTGACATTTGATGATAGGGAAGCTGTGTTTCTGTAAGAAGCCGATTTACAGGGGCAATCAGTTAACTGCGCGTCAGGGTCCATTCGTATTCGTTTGTTCGCTAGGCCAGTAAAAACCCTAGACTTCTCTAAATGTATTTTTAATAGATTAAATAAACAAGTTTAATATAATTACCTCTGTTATTAGATTTATACATTCCCTGTGTCCTCTAAAAGCCATCTATTAATTTAGATATAACATATCTATTAGCCGTAACTATCTCGTTAAAATTATCAATATTTATTTTATATTATTTAATAATATTAAATTCTATTCTGCTTTGATTTCCAAATTGCTTCAAATACGAAAGAATCGATGTAATATTTACGATTTTCGTGTCTTTCGCCAGCTTTACTCAAACTATTTAAATCGTCAAACCCAATCTCATTCTACACACTAATTTTATTTGAAAATAGTAGGTAAGGCCAACAAAACAATTTTTTCATTTTTATGCATCCACAAAGCCATTTTATGTCTTCATAAATTTTATCGGAAAAATGTCGAACAAATTTTTTTGTTGACGTACAGTAGAGCGTCGATTTTCCGAAAGTCAATCATCCGAAAGAATTTCAGTCGGCAAATTTGAATTTTCGCCAGTGCTGTGGCGCTTCAATCTTTCGCTATGTCTTGGGCTACTCAAATATTTTACGTTTTTGATACTAAATTAACATCTGAAGTATAATTTTTTATTCTGACAGTTTTGTCTTCAATTTTATTTTATTATAATTTTTTATTATTTTTATATTTTTGAATATATTTATTTTGTTTGTACAAAATAAAAAAATAATTTTTAACGATACAATAGTCTTTGTTAGGCTTAACATCGACGAAAATTCAACGCGAAGCGACACGCAACGGAGAAAAATTTCGACATCGGATACGTTAAACTATTTTTTCGTACGTAAATCAGTTATCCGAAATATCAGTTATCCGGACAACCCCAGTCCCCAATTGATTCGGAAAATCGACGCTCTACTGTATTTATATTTAATTTAAGCATTGGTCTTTCTCTTTTAATAATGGTTTCTTTTATATGGTCTTGAGCCAAAACTTTTTTAAAATAAATTTTCAATATCGCAATTACATTCTGAATCGCTAACCACGATATAAGGGCTAAAATTAAAAATAAATTTATAAAAACTTACTTTTGTGGTGGATATACATACCTGGTACAAAATATTCTTCAATTGTATGAATATATAATTGTATACTTTTAAAGAAAATTATAATTAAATATAATTTTGTAAAGAAACGTACATTAAAATAACATAAAATCTTCTTTACTTCTTAAATCTTAACCACTTGGTCAAATAGCTCCCTACAAGTGGAATCAAAGAATGTCCAGCTATGTGTGCGGTGCGTGCATGCATGCAGGCTGCCAAATCCCGAGGGTGCCTATACTGATCAATGTCAAATACTGTTTTTTGTTGCATCACTAGTATACCTCAAAGGACACGACTGGGTTGTAAATTTTAAATGTTTCTCGCCATAGCTGTAAAAATCTAAATATGTTAAACCAGATGTCCATAACCGTTTTAGGACCAGATGTCCACGGAAATTTCCAAAATTTCCGTGGACATCTGGTCCTAAAGCGAATTAGTTAGAAAACAAACGACAGACAATCTATTAAGTTTAACATATTTAGATTTATACAGCTACGGCGAGAAACGTTTAAAATTTACAACCCAGTCGCGTCCTTTGAGGTATACTAGTGATGCGACTAAAAAGATATTCGACATTGACCAGTATCGGCACCCTCGGTATTTGGCAGTCGTGTTTACGCACGCACTACAACCGTCTCTGATTCCATCCACTGGTAGGGAGCTATTTGACTAAGAAGTAAGTGGATTGTTTTAAGATTTAAAAAGTAAAGAATATTTTATGTTATTTTTATGTACGTTTCTTTACAAAGTTATATTTAATTATAATTTTCTTTAAAAGTATATTCATACAACTGAAGAATATTTTGTACCAGGTATGTATATCCACCGTACATTTTATTTCACCAAGTAAGTTTTTATTATTTTATTTTTAATTGTAGTCCTTATATCGTAGCTAGGGATTCAGAATGTAATTGTGGTATTAAAAATACATTTAGAAAAGTCTACGGTTTTTTTGGCTTATCGAACAAATTAATACGAATGTACCCTAGACCAGCGGTCAGCAACCTTTGCCAAGCGTGCCATCTAACTAGTGGCACGCGAAAGAATTTTCAGTGGCACGCCAATTGTGCATAAAATTAAAAACTTCAAACTATGAACTAAATATTGATGTATTAGCTTCTAAAATTGAACCATAAGGGAGTCACTAATGTTTAAGTATTGTAATTTTTTAATAATATTTTTATATAGTATGTATTTTATAGTTAAATAAAAATGTGTTAGTGTGCAATAGGGTTTCTCATTTCCTGGGAAATTTGCCTCCAGCGGGACTACGGAAAAAATAATTTATTTTCCCGGGATCCCGGGAAATTCCGGGATGAGATAGTAAAACAGAATTTTATATGAAATTATCACATTTCCAATTTAATAAAAAATATATTTCCCTTGAATGGCTCCATTCAGTGGCGTAGCGTGGATGTCAGCCGCCCGGGGCGAAGGAAAACTTCACCGTCCCCTTATTTAGGTATCTCAATTTAAAAGCCTAAAATTCAGTTTCTCACAGAATATGTAATGAAATATTCCGTGCAAGTGTTGCCACCTTTTTAAAATCGCTGATCCGGACGGCAGGTGAGGTTTGTTCGGACAGAAGTTCCTGACGCATGCGTATGCCATTTTACAATGCGAAGAATAATGTGCAGTGCATGCCGGTTCTAAATCAGTTACAGTTAGCGACTAGGGAGACTTGGGTAGGAGTAACGTAAGTAACCTAGATGACTTAGCTCTATTGGATATTGGAGGTGTATATGAATAGGAATGAAATGAATCGTACAAGCAAAAAGAAAAAAAAGGTCAACAGGTTGCACACGATATCCACGGGTAAAATTAATAGTTCGCCCGGACTGTCCGGATGGTAACACTATTCCGTGCTCATTTCAATCGGTCCGAATCGTAGGTGCGACGAAATTATGAAATAAAATAGTTCAAATTTTTACAAGATATTATTGTTATTTATTGTGAAATTTTGCTGACCCCTAAAAAGTAATTTTGCCGCCCCTTAAAAAGTGCCGCCCTCAATACGCTACGCCACTGGCTCCATTTCGAAGATTTTTTAATTTA